TTTTTTTTTTTTTTTTGGTTGCAGGGTTTATTTTGCGGGCCCCTGGGGATCCGAACCCACCACCTTAGGTGTACGTGGCTGGCGCCTTAGCCGGTTGAGCTATAGGCGCCGAGCCCAGGGTGATCTCTTAACTCCACAGCTCAGGGAATCCCCCTGCCTTGGTCCCCAGTCTACTAGGATACAGGCACAAGCCGCTGTGCTGGTCTCTGTTTCCATATAGTAGTTCTGATTGCTTAATATTCATTCCCTTGTTTTATAGAGTTTGGTTCTACTTTTTTGATCTAATATTGTGTACATTAGAAGTTAGATCCCTTTTCTGGAAAAGGAAAGGTAACCCTAAAGTTCCTTTCCTTTTTTTTTTTTTTTTTGTAGACAGAGTCTCACTTTATGGTCCTCTATAGAGTGCTGTCGAGTCACACAGCTCACAGCAAGCTCAAACTCCTGGGCTTAGGCGATTCTCTTGCCTCACCCTCCTGAGTAGCTGGGACCACAGCCACCCACCACAACACCCAACTATTCTTTTGCTGCAATTTGGCCAGGGACTGGCTGGAACCCACCACCCTCCGACGCCCCACCCACTGAGCCACAGGTGCCACCCTTGTTTGTTTCTCTGAGACAGAATCTCACTATGTCACCTTTGGTAGAGTGCTTTGATGTCACAGCTCACAGCAACCTCAAACTCTTGGGCTCAAGTGATTCTCTTGTCTCATCCTCCCAAGTAAGTGTAATTACAAAATCCACCACAATGCCCAGCAATTTTTTGTTGTAGTTGTCATTGTTGGTTAGCTGGCCCAGGCTGTGTTTGAACTCATCTTCTTTGGTGTATGTGGCTGGGCTGTAACTACTGTGCTACTGGGGGCGCAGAGCATAAGGTTACTTTTTTGAGACAGAATCTCTGTCACCCCTGGTAGAGTGCCACAGCATTATAGCTTGCAGCAACCTCAAACTCACGCGATCAAGTGATGTTCTTGCCTAGACCTCCCAGTAGTCTGGGACTACAGGTACCCACCACAACACCTGGCTATTTTTAGAGGTTGGGTCTTGCTCTGGCTCAGGCTGGTCTCAAACTTGTGAGCTCAAGCAGTCCACCTGCTGTAGCTTCCTAGAGTGCTATTATTACAGGCATGAGGCATAGCACCCAGCTAGGACCTGCTTTCCTTATTTTTATTTTTTTTTGATACAGAGTCTTAAGCTGTTGCCCTGGGTAGAGTGCTTAGGTGTCACAGCTCACAGCAACCTCAAACTTTGGGGGTTAAAGGATTCTTTTGCTTCAGCCACCCAAGTAGCTGGGACTATAGGCGCCTGCCACAATGCCTGGCTATTTCTTGTTGTTGCAGTTGTCATTGTTGTTTTAGCTGGTCCAGACTGGGAAAGAACCCACCAGCCTCAGTGTATGTGACCAGTGCCCTACCCACTGAGCCATAGGAGCCGCCCCCTTTTTTTTTTTTTTAAAGAGATAAAAGTATAAGGCTTGGTGCCTGTTACTCAGTGGCTAGGGTGACAGCCACATACACTATGTCTGAGGAGTTGTAACCTGGCTTGGGCATGCCAAACAACGATGATAACTACAGCAAAAAAATAGCTGGGCTTTGTGGCTGGCGCCTATACTCACAGTTACTTGGGAGGCTGAGGCAAGAAAATCACTTAAGCCCTTAAAAGCACTTAAGAGTGTGAGGTTGCTGTGAGCTGTGATTGCCACTACACTCTACTGAGGGTGACATACTGAGACTCTGTCTCCAAAAAAAAAAAAGATAAAAATATGTACCTAATATCTGCCGATTTTCAGGTGTCATTTGTGTTTAAACAGTTAGATTACTAGTGAAGTCATTTCCAGGTTCCTGACAGGTTATATGCAGAAAGATTATATATATGCCACTAGAAAAGACAATAAATCATTTAAATTTTCCTTCCCAGGACAGGTGGGGTGGCTTACCCCTGTAATCCAAGCACTCTGGAAAAGTGAGGCAGGCAGTTTTCTTCAGCTCAAATTTGGAGACCAGCCTGAGTAAGGGAGACCCTATCTCTACTAAAGATAGAGAAATTAGCCTGGTGACATAGTGGGATTCTGTAGTCTCAGCTATTCGGGAGGTTGAGGCAGGGGTCTCACGTTAGCCCAGGAATTTTTTTTTTTTGCAGTTTTTGGCCGAGACTGGATTTGAACCCGCCACCTCTGGCATATGAGGCCGGCGCCCTACTCCTTTGAGCACAGGCGCCACCTGAGCCTAGGAATTTTTTTTTTTTTTTTTTTTTTTGAGACGGAACCTCAAGCTATCCCCCTGGGTAGAGTGCCATGGCATCACGCTCACAGCAACCTCCAACTCCTGGGCTCAAGC